GTAGACCAAATAAATACACCAATGAACTCAACCCATGAGAAATAAACTTTCCAGGGTTATATATATATATATATATATATATATATATCATGGTGTGTGTACTCAGATATTTTTGTACATTTGAGCGGACCTGTGTGAATTTATCATTCATTTGATTTTGGAAACCTCCCTTAACACATACACATTTATTCCATTCACTCTGTTCTCACCTTGTGGCATATGACTGAGCGTATTGATTTTCTTGCATCCGTGCCGCTAACTCAGAAACATTCTTTCCCTGTGATAATGTTGCTTTAATGGATTCATGAGGTATCTGCAACCAAAGGCTTGCTGTATGCGCTTAACAACACATGTAACACAGAACACTGATGCATGCCAGTGTTGAATTTGATTCTGCTCTTCATATTAGCTAGTAAAACTTGGTTGCTATTACAAATTAAAACTTGGTTGCTATTATCCATCATGACAATCATCAAGCATCCCCATATGGTTTTATATACACAAGCCATTTCCTTTTCTCCATTTTCATTATTCTTCTTAATTTTATTCATTCTTTGGATTGCCTTAATTTTATTCATTTACATTGTTTTTGAATTTTAGGTTTTAGCTAGCCAGACTAAGATGTACATAATTCTTGAGTTTGTCATGGTAGGAGAACTATATGATAAAACTGGAAGACGTTTTTGTTCACTTCTCATGCCATAGATTATTCTAGGTTGATTCTTCTTTCACTATAATCAAACCTGACTATTTTAAGTTAGTAACGATGAAGTGACGACTTTCTGATTATGACAAAGATTAGATGCATTCATGGGTTATGCGCTCACACACACACACACACATATTCATTTTTCATGTTTCTGTACCTTTACTGGATGTTTAGGTTCAGCAAGGGAAGCCTTCGGAAAATGGATCCAGCCTTTACTTTCAACAACTTATAGATGCTTCTACTCATTGTCACAGTAAGTCTAAATTTAAGAATTAGTTCATTTAACTTGTTTGACTTGGTTTGACACACCAATTAGCATTTTAATAGTGTTAAGCAAAAAGAAACTAGCCAATACATTCTCTAACTTGGTTTGTTCCTATTTGGTTTTAATGTAGTTTTGGAATATGCTACAAATCTCATTTTAGATCCAATAATTATATTTAGGTGTAAGTTGAAACTCAGGTGTAGCCATTACACGTTCTATCCCTCCAAATTTTACCATCAATTTATATAAATTTTATTTGTTTGTTTGTATCTTTTGAAATTTAGGCGTTCTCAAATAATCTCATATTGTCCCTCAACTTCTGCGCTAATTTTTTTAGGTACATCATAGGAGTGACCTCTTAATGCCAATGAAGAAAGTGAATCTCTTATCTACTAGTATTAAGAATTTGCAGATTTTCATGCTTCTTAAAAGTAGTCAAGAGATCATATCTCGTTGTGGGTTTTTGTCATAAGTGAAATCTGAGTACTTTTTTGAATCTTTTAGTATTCATGGCCTTCATTTTTCTTCTATTGCACTGTTATGATATGATAAGAAAGATGAATTGACAACTTAGTTTACTATACTAATGTTGAACTTGTGTATGGTTGGACATAGTAAGGCTGTTGTTAGCAAGGGTGGGGCAGCCTCATTGGCAGCAAGACATGATTCAATTCCCATGGCTGCATTTAAACTTGCCTTCACGTGCTGTTTCTTTACAGGTAAGCCATTTATTCTTTTTTCTACTAATTTTGTTTTCTGTGTGTACATATATTCATGTTGGTGTTTGTTTTGTTTTTTTTTTTTTTTGAGTAAATTTTTTGAGTAAAACAGAAAGATGTTTAGTTTTGCTGTTATTAGGCCTAAAAAGATAATGGATAAAACCCCTTGGAGCAACTAGACACGCTACCTGCTTCTATCTAGTTGAGTTTGTCTAGCCCAATGATAACTAGATTTCCCGCCGGGAAGGACCACTATCCTGAGAGGCACATGGGACCAGACCATGGGCTCATGACCTGTCTGTCCTGTCCATTTCTGTTGAGATATATATTTGGTCATACATATAATTTTATAGTTTTTAACCACATGCTATTCAATTTTGTTCTTTGGTGACTGCTAGATAGTCAGTATAGGATGACAGGTTCACAAAAAATGCTTCCACTGGAGATGATAATTTTTATTGTCTGAATTTGGATTTTGTTAGGAAGTTATCATGAATTTATGATCTGACTTGTGTGTTTGTAGTTGATTGAATACATGTGTTTGTACGTTGTTGATTGAAAATTATGCTTGTATATGTTGACTGAAATAAAGGTTGATATGAAGTCAAAATGTTGCTGTGGGGGTCCAAGTGGTTAATTTATATACCCTTCGTTTATGTTTTTTTTTTTGTAAGAATACCCTTAATTTACATTATCATTACTATATATAATCTTTTTGTTGTTGTTAATTTAACTTGATCATGTAAGGCTGTTTTAGAGACAAATGTAATTGGAATGTGCAAATTTTGTCACTTTTTATTTGAAACTAAAATTTGTCATATGTGTGCGTCTATGCTTATTTGATTCAATTTTCAGTTTTATGTCGAAATTCTTTCTCTTGTTTACATCAAAGTGTAAGCTTTGAGGTTGTTTTGGGCTTTGTTGGAAGTTAGAATATGATTATTGTTTGGTGCAAATTCATTTATGATTTGAGCTCCGTTAATGGTAATCTTTTTATCTTGTGTGGGAGGTTCAGCTTTCAATAAACTAAGGTGATGTAGCTTGATATTCAAAATCTTAATTCAGGTAAGGCCACACATATCAATTCTTCAGAGGGGTCATGTGAGGACTTTTTTTTTTTTTTTTTTTTGAAATATCAAAACTAAGAAAATTCAGAGACTTATTACTAACCAGTTCTTAATAAATCGTAGTTAGATTCTATTTCTGATGCACATGATCCTTTTAAAAAGATAAATACAGAGCATACTTGGAATTTCTAGAGACAAAAAGAAAGGTATTATAGGTTAGGCTTTCAAAAGAAAAAAGAAGTTTAGAGAGAATTCATGAAAACACACTTATATTACATAAGAGAGTTCATATAACTCCGTATGCCCTTATCACTTGGCAGAGATTAGTTTATGTAAACTCTGGGATTACAATACAAGAAGTAGACTAAATAATTGTACAGATACAAAAGTAAAGATTTCAGACAAACGCATGACATAAAGGCAAAGATTCCTTTAACTATTAAACAGGACAAGCACTCTCTGACATAAAATACATGAGTCACACTTATAGTAAATTCCTGATGGGTTATCCTTGTCCTTAATCCTTAAAGATAGGTTCATGACTTGGAGCTAAATTCATGTAATCTTTTGAATTAGAATCATAGATTCTTGATGTATAATGGAGATGAGAAGATGATGGAAGTTTTGGCTGAGAAAATTGGAGTCCTTTAGACTGGTTGAGCTGGATATGTGAACCACCCTGATAGGGATTTTGGAATTCCCCTACGAGAACTGGAGATAATTGTGATTCTTATGTAGGAACTGGAGGTGTAACAGCATGTAAGATAAACTTTCTTTGGAATTCTTCAGGAGTTGAGGAATTAGCTACATGTTGTGAACTGGGAGGACTTGGAGGAAAAGGTCCAAGGGGAAGATCTGTAGAATCTTCTCTTGTATGTGGCTTGAATGTGTTGACAATGTTTTTTCAAGTTTTTCTATTATTATTTTTTCCCCTTTTTTGGCCATAAAGGAGAAGTAATCTAGATGGTTATCTGTATAGAGACTTTCATCTGCATCTCTTTCATAATTCCTGTAGAGAGTGAATAAGCAGAAAAACTTTTTTTGTTTTGAGGATGGCATACTCCAAACATTGAACTTATTGAGAATGTTATAGAATTTTTTTCTCCAACAAGATAGAGGAGTAAAGAATTCAAAAAGAGTAACAAGGTGGGAGTTTTGGTTGGTTGAATTGCATAGGTAGTGATATATGCGTAAGGTTGGAAAGGTCATGATACAAATATTAATTAGTTCTTATATTAAGAATAAGAAGAGTATAAAACTTGATATGTGTGTATATTAATTATCTTATCTACTTTATAGTTGGTCAAAAGCACTGCCTTACAATTGTTTATAATTATAATTCTACTATTATATTTTAGCTAAAAATATCACAAATTCATCATCCTATTTTAAAAAAACGCCCAAAAAGTTAAATTATTATTGTATTCTAAATACAAAAATTGAAAACATAATTTTAATAAACAATATAATAAATACGTGTGATAAAAATTCTTAAAATGGTCCCATTATCACACCCCCCAATTTCAATTGTCTAAAATTTCATCAATATTATATTTCATCCAAATAGAAAATTGTCCATATGACCTCAATCGCTCTCTCACCAACTTTTAAGATAAAAGTTTAATGGATTAGTGAACTGTGACCTTTTTGTCAATTAATTTTTTATTTAAAAAATTTCTAAATATAGTTACTTGCTCTATTATTAACCAAGCTCTTAACATATTTTTTAATTTAAAACTCAAAAATCGATTATATTCTTAGTTACCAATTGAACTCTGAATTTGATTTTAAAAAAAACTTAATTTTACAAGTTTTATATAATAAAAATAAATTAATAATCCAAATTATCAAATTAAGACATATAATATTTAGTCATTCATTTAATATGGAGTAATTAACTGTTATCATTAATAAATTAATAAAATCAGATAAAAAATTGAAAAAATAATCTTTGAGTATAATATTTTATTTTCCGCCGTAAAGCTTGAGTTTCAAATTTAAAGATGAAATTTATTTTGGTACTCTATTAATTATAAAGATTTAAATTGAAGATGGTTTTTATTGAAATTTCACCGTTGGAAAAAAGTATCCGTTGCATTTGGGGGATTTAACTTGATTGCGGAGCACCTCTTCACTTCAAAAGAGATGGGTTAACCGACAAAGAGATCAATGCTAGAGTGAAGTAGGGGGTCGCAATCGATGAAGGGGCGATGAACTTCGAGCCAGCGACGGCCATTTGATTGACGGCCAACGTTAATGACTCTGCGTTTCTTCATGCTTCTCCTCTGTTACAGGTGATGCTTCTTCTTCTTCTTCTTCGAATTGCTAAAGAGGAACCAGAAAGCCCCACCTTTCCCTTTTCTTTTGTTGGACGGAACTTACTTTACAAATTATTTGATGTTTGCCTGTGGGATGTTCTTTGAAGGAGCTGTTCGAAACAAACAACGATGGTGAAACAGCGGGTGGTTGACTGGACTGGGCTTGGTGGACGACGATGGCACTAAAGTTGACGGATTCGAATCTCCAGACTGAACGGTAAACATATTTCGCATTTGGTTTCTTTTTTGCCACTTTTTTCTTTGTTCGACTTTTCCTGATATATATATGTATATTGGATGTATGTTTCCGACACATCCCTTCTCTCTGAAATCAAAGGACCTCTTTTATTTACTATTCGTCCCCCAACCCTCGCTAATCTCTAGTACTTTTCTAGTTATGTTTCTTGATATGTTAGTTTGATATGATACTCTCCATCTTATTGATGCTTGGAAGCTGTCTACTTCTAAGTCGCAAATTACTTATCCCTGCAACCTTATGATATTTATTCTTGATTGTTTTGCTGTTTTGTTATTGAATCGATTGTTTTCCTGTGCTATGAGCCTGTCAGTGTGCTAAGATTGATCGGTGTGAGGAAACTTTTTGTTTTTTCAAAAAATGGAAAACCACAGATTTCTTCTCCTATGCTTCATTGGTCGGTTGGGAGCGATTTTATTTGTTTTGTTTTGTTTTTTATTTTTTATTTTAATAATCTTTGTGACAAGGGAAAAACATCCTTCAATTAATATAAAAGTTCTAGAGGTTCTTTTGCCAGGTCTAGCGGTTTTATTATATGAGGCAATAAATCTATATCTATATTTGATATGACAAGAAAAATACTACTAAAATAGAGCTTGATCTTTGTATGGATTGCAAAAAAAGAGACGCTGGCAATGAAATAGGGTAGATCAGATGGTTGTAGGCTTTCCTTTTTAGATCTGCCTCACCTTATGTAACTAAATCTTAGTTCTTAAGTGGTGAATAGAATTGTAAGCCTGCAATGCCCATAAGGAATGATTTGCGAATGTGAGAAACTTGATATTGGTTCAAAGGCATGCAAGGCTGTTGTAATTATTCCCGCATGCCTTGTGATTTGTTAGAATCGCATATGTGGCTTATTTCGGAAATGAAAGTCTCTTAATGCAAATAGACATGCTTTAGTGTCTGAGCTTTTATATTTAACGCACTGATGCTGTAAGGCTTGTTGAGAATTATATTATTTGATAATGTTGCTTTGATGAATCTCATGAGGTATGTGGTGGCACATTGTGACATATACATAAGCTATTTCCTTTTTTCCCCGTTTTCATTTTTTTTCCCTCAATTTTATTCATTTTTTGGATTACCTTAATTTTATTCATTTACATTGTCTTTTAATTTCAGGTTTTAGCTAGCCAAACTAAGATATACATAATTCTTGAGTTTGTCATGGGAGGAGAACTAAATGATAAAATTGTAAGACTATTTTTTCACTTCTTATGCCATAGATTATTCTAGGTTGATTCTTCTTTGATTATAATCTAAGTCTGACCATTTTAAGTTAGTAACATTGAAGTGATGACTTTCTGATTCTGATAAAGATTAGGTGTATTCATGGTTTATATATATATATATATGTATATATTATATATACAGATATATGTCTATATATTTCGTGTTTCTGGATGTTTAGGTTCAGCAGGGAAAGCTTTCAGAAAATGATGCAGTCACTACTTTTAGCAACTAATAGATGCTGCTACTCGTTGTCACAATAAGTCTAAACTTGAGAATTAGTTCATTTAACTTGTTTGATTTGGTTTGACATCCCAACTAGCATTTTAACAATGTTAACCGAAAAGAAACTAACCAATATTTTCTCTAACTTGTTTGTTTTGATATGGTTTGGGATATTCTAAAATATCATTTTGGATCCAGTATAGCCATTGCACAGGTACAGCCATTGCACAAGTTTCACCATCAATTTGTATTAGTCTTTGTTTGTTGTTTATTGTGTCTAGTGAAATTCAAGTGTTCTGAAATAATCTCATATTATCCCTCAGGAACTGATCCTTTTAGGTACATGATGGGATCGGCCTATTCTTCATGCCAATGAAAAAAGTGAATCTCTTACCTCCCAGTATTAAGCATTTACAGATTTTCAGGTTTCTTGAGAATGGTCAGGAGCTCCTATCATGTTAGGAAGGAAATCTGAGCGTCAACAGTTTTGAACTTTCTATTGCAACTGCACCCGTTATAACATATTAAGAAGGAAGAATTGACAGCTTAGTTTGCTATACTAATGTTGAACTTGTGTAAGACTTGGTTCAATTCCCATGGCTGCATTTCAAGCTTGCCCGACTGTTACTTTACAGGTAAGCCATTTGGTCCCTTTTCTATTAATTTTGTTTTATATATAATACCCTCGATCTTCAATACAAGACCCAATCCATTAACTAAAGAAAATTAAGGAGCTGAAAAATCACTTAATTGTACAACATGTTACATGATGTGTTTGAAATATTTATGTGAATCATTATACTACTTTCGATTCTTAATATGAGAGCTAGTTGACTAATTTGAGTAGATTAAGAAAGTTTGTTAAAATAGTTATTTGTAATAAATAGGTTTTGTTTTCCTTACAATACTCTTGCTGATCAAATGTATTAGTTAAAACTACCATTACTACTAGAACTATCTTAGAAAAAAGTAAATGTATATTAGAGACAAAATAGATTAGGGTCTTATATTTAGGACCAAAATAAAAGTAAAACAAGCTCTTATATTAAGGACTTGAGGTAGTATTATATATCAGACAAATTAGTTTGAAGAAAAACAATAAAGTAATTTATTCAATTTTTTTTTATCTTTCCAAATTAATCAACTAAGTCTCTTATTAATGACAAGAGGTAGGGTGTGTACTCATGTTAATATTGTATGGTTTTGCTGTTATTAGGCCTAAAAACACAATGGGTAAAATAATTAGGTTCAACCTTTAGACTTTAGTGTCAGCCCATTAAAAAAGAGTACAAAGGAAAACAGAGATGGACTAGGGGTTGGACCAATTGGGTAAAATAATGGGTGAAAAACAGAAGCTTAGCAATCAAATTGGACTGGACCTTGGGCTTATGACAAGTCTGACCCAGACTGGTCCATATTCAGCCTTAGTTCTTGACTTCTTGTTAACTTGTTTATTTTGTCACACACACACGCACGCATATATATATATATATATATATATATATAATTTTATGGTTTTGAGTTGTATGCTATTCAATATATATAATTTTATGGTTTTGAGTTGTATGCTATTCAATTTTGTTCCGTGGTGGCTACTAGCTCGTCAATATGGGATGAAAGATTCATAGGGGGGGGGAGGGGAAAAAGCCTCCATGGGAGGTGATAATTTTTATTCTCTGATTTTTGTTATGAAGTTGTGATGAATTTATGATCTAATAATTTATGTGTTTGTTACTGATGGAAAATTATGCTTGTGTATGTTGGTTGAATTAGGGGTTGATATAAAGTGAAAATGTAGTGGGGGCCTAAGTGGTTAATTTATACCCTTTGCTTACAAATTTTTTTTTTAATAACAATACCCTTTATTTATATTGTCATTACAATAACCTTGAAACTCAAATTTGCTTATGTAAGGCTATTTTGGAAACAAATGATATTGGTGTGTGCAGATTTTGTCACTTAATAACCTTGAAACTCAAATTTGTCATGTGTTGACACATTGTGGAAATTATGTTTTGTATTGTAGCATCATTAGAATTTGAGTTTTGAGGTAAGCAACTGTTGTTAACATATGTCTACTAGTGAAATATGTAAGTTTAAACCACTTGTGGGAGGTAACTTCCTGTTTTGTGAGGTAGGAATTTTGTAAATCCTTTGAAAGAGGAAGATCATATTTCTTTTTCGAATTAGTTTAAAAGATATCCCTTGTTTTTTGGGTTCCTCCACACTTTCTTCTTTCATGTCCTTTTATTTGTCAAACATTAGTTTTCTTATCATCTATTCCATGTAATGCATTGCTATTTTTCATCTATTCAAACTAGTATGCGGGTTTATTGACTTTTTTCATTTATTATTTTTCATTTTGTTTTTCTTGGTCCATTAATATACATTTTTTTCTTTTGTCTTTTTCTATTAGCATAATTTATTTTGACAGCCGAAGAACTTTCTCTCTCCTTTGAATAGCCCTAGTCCTATACTTACTTTAATAAAAAGTTAGGCACTCACACTCATTGGTCTTCATGTTTGAAACAGTTGCCATGTTGTTTGACCGGTCGTTTGCGTCGAGTGTTGTTAATTCGGCACTCGGCACAAAATCACTACATCTATGACCGATTTACTTACTATAAAAAGGTGGTTGCATTCTTACGAAAGATTATAGCTGATCTATATGATCAAAGTAATTATTTATTATTTTTATAACTACTGATTGATTTGTTTATTTATTTGCTCTACACTTGCCTCTTTAAGAGGATCCTGTGCATTAGAAAATAGAATCTGACCACGATCCATGAAGGAGTGTTTAGTGTGACAATCTTTCCAGTTATCCTAGATCTGGTATTCAAAGCTGAGAGTCCTAATGTGGCCCGTTGATGAGTTGAGAATGAGTGGCCTTACCTGAACTTTAGCCTTGGATATCAGACTATGTTAGCTTGGTCCGGTTGAGCTAACACCTCGAGTGGTATCAGAGTCAGCACAATCTTCACAGAAGTGAGATATTATTTGTGAAGGTGAGTAAGAAGATATCATCTTATCATGAGTGAAACCTCAAATAGCCTTTTGAACTTGTTCGTCTTTCTTCTTCCTTTCATCCCACAAAGACTTCCCTCCTCTGTTCGGAGAACTTTTTCTAGAAAAATAGAGAACCTTGTTGAGATAGATAATCTTCCTGAAGATGCTAGAGTTCAGGAAACAGATCTATCTCTTCTCAGCCCTTATAGTCTTTATCACCGTACCAATCGTGTCACCAGAAATGTTAGAAACCTGATCTCCACCCGAAGGCCCCATGTTAAGGAAATTATTCAGTCTACCGGACTAGAAAACTGTGGTCTTCCTGCCTCTTCCTCTCTGAACAATATGTCAATACTGACATACCATCTCTATATTGGTGCTGTACGTCTTATTCTTACACTCTATGGGAGAAAAGGAATTCCAGCCACTGCTAAAGTTGCTCTAGTCGATACTACCTATACTACCTACAGTAATGCTTTGATTGGCACTGTCCTGACCACTCTTAGCAACGGTAGTGTCATCATTACCATGGCCCCAGACTTCAACATCAAGCTTTCAGATCTAACTTTGACGAACAGACTAAAAATCCAAGTCCAAATAGTTGGGGCAGAGTAAGATCCCAGAGCTATCGCCGCAACTCTTCATCATCAAGTCATCTATAGACTCCAGAATCATGCTCTTGATCTTTATTTTCCAAACTCCACTAAAGATGCTCTTTATGTGGTTTCTGATAGAGCTGATAATACCTTCATCATCCAGATTCCTCGACAGATCCCAAAAGAGGAACTTGCTCAGTTGATGCCTCTTGAGTGGATCACCAACTATGAAAAACACTTTCATGGATGTATTTTGACTATTACTCCAGCCTATGTTCCATCTAAATGAGACCCTCCGATTGCTTGGGTAGATCAAAATGCCAAGCCATGTTATGTGTCTCATATAAAATGTCCATTTCATTTGGGATCATGCACCTTATTAGTGGGAAGCATCAGATGATGAAGATGAAGATGGATGGTTTTATCCCATCAAATATGCCATAAAGAAGAAAAAGGAGAAGAATACATCTCCTTGTTCCTACAAACATTACCATCGTCACCATGATGATGTTATATAATCATGGTCTGAAGCAGAAAGCTAGAAACTGGAAGGCTCCTGTCCTTACTGTTCCTTCTATATGATTTGCTGACCTAGTGATTTCTATCATCCAACAATTCATCCCGTGTATAGCAATGATGGATCCCCTTATGAGCAGGATTTGAAAGAAAAACTAACAGAGAAACAAAGGTTACAGCAAGACCTTTCTCTATTCCAACAGAAATCTCCCCTACTGGTGAAGCTAGACCAGTCTCAGCAGTAGAAGAAGTTCTCAACTGGCAGGCCCAGAATGCGATTGGCCAGAATAGAACCTTGACCAAGATTAATTCAAAGCTTAACCTGCTGACTCTTAGAACTGATACTCTGACAAGCAGGCTTGACCACGTCTCTGATCAAGTCAAACAGTTTTATATGACTCTAACTTCTCAGGCTTATCAACTGGATGCAGATCTGAAGCGATTTATCAAAAAAGGATACATTGGACCAGAGTTTACCCGGAAAGAGCAAGAACTGTCACAAATCTGAAAGGATTTGTAAAGAATTGAGTCAGACATTGTTAAGGATCATTCACACATCTATGACCCTTATCCGTCTTACCCCTCTAGTTTTCAACTTCCGACATATCC